ACAAGCTGTGAACAAATTTTCAAATGAAAATAAAATAGCACTATAATTTATATTGTTAAACCCAATAGTAATGCACCTGACAACATTAAGAAAATGGATATCATGAACAAATTTACATTAAAAAGTAAAGAAATCTCTAGATACCCTCTAAAAGGCTGGGATTTCCTGCATACTTAAACATGACACAGTTCCTGAAATGGCCTAAAAAAACAACAATAACTATATGAAGAAAACTTATAAAAAATGTTTGGTGAGATAGATCACACAGACATTTCAAGAGTTTTTTTGAATGTTAAATTTGTTATGCCTTTCATCAAATGATAATAATTAAATATTTCTAAATCTACAGAACTTTCTGTAACTACATGCTCAGAACAGTTAGCAACTTATTCTAAACCTCTGCAAAGTTTAAACTCTGGCATATGTTTTATTTGATGTACTTTGTACACTGTTGTTGAAAAAGCACCTTCTCTCTTTAGTTTTATTGTTTAATAATGACTGCTGGACTCATGACTGGAGAACACACATTTTAAACTAGTCCTACGAAGAGATACCCTAACTCCACAAATAAAAAACATAAAAAGAAAGAAATATGCAAGTGACAAGAATGAAAACTTTTAGAAATAAATATTGCTGATGTACTTTTGCAAAAACAGCATCTTCATTAAAAACTGATGCAGTTTGTAGTTTTTTACTGAAAGAAATAGATACTTTTGACATTAAATTTCAATTCTTTCATCACACTGAAAGACTGGAAATTCGGTACACATTCTAAAACACACACCAACATCACAAAGCATTTGCAAGTAATATTTTCTGCTGACTGAGAATTCAGTGATCAAACTTATAAGAAGCTTCAAGGTCAAAATGCTGTTGAACCTCAAATGATTACTTTATTATTATTATTTTATCAGAATAGATCACAGCTACATCTGGTGAGAAAATAATATCAAACTGAATGGCCCCAAGAATAAGGGATACCCCCAAACACTGGTAGTATTTTTCCCCCCTAATGACAGAATGTACAAATATATATATATATTTTTAACGAAGAGTTCAGTGTGTAGAAACTGAGTGAAATTAACTGTACTTGAATTATAATGCAGGAGGATGATGGAAGAGCTAAGAAATTCAGGAGCATACTAAGGTATAATCCTACTTACATTTAGTAAAATAAGAGCATTTTGACAAGAACCATTTTATTTTAAATCATACTTAGCTTCAAATGCCAGAGAAAAACTGCACTAACTTTTAGCTTTGAATTTCTGATAATCTTTTGCTTAACTTCCTACCCTGGTAAGATATTGTTAAGCTTTTATTCAAATATAATCATATTTTTGGTAATAAGTTAGTTATAATAAAATAAACTTGTATCATAATTTTTTGAGTTAATACAATTCACAAAGATTAACTACTCATCGAGCAAAGTGTATGTGCAAAAATTAACTTGTCTTATATGACTAGTACTTTGTCACCCATAGTTTACCAATTAAGATACTGACACCAATTGTTATCACCAACAATACATTTTGTTCCTAACTTGAAAAAGTGCATCAGCTTACACACAGATTTATGTACATCTCAAAATAAGTAATAAGCTGAATCTAACAAAGACATGCAGAACTCAATATACAGATCCAACTGTGTGTGTGTATATATATAAGTAAGATCAGTGTCACTCTATGCATCTAGTACAAACAATAATGGACATATGAATATAATTCTTTCACACCAGAAGGATGAAGGTCAACCTTCTGAAAGTGTTCAGTCACATCATTGACCCATCTAACTGTTTAACCGTATACAACTTCTTAGTCACATTATTGACCTATCTAATACAACTTTTCTTTCTTTCTTCAGATAAGTCACTTAATGTTCCAAAATTTAGTAGAGTAAAATATAGCATCGTAAAGGTAACTCGTCAACTTTACGTGTATTTGTAAAATCTAAAACTAATTTGCTATGTTTTATGTAAATAGTTAACTACAACAATCATGAAATATAAATGTTTTTCTTTCTTTTGTATTTATATATTTATTTTTTCTTTCCAAAGGAATAATTTATCTTCCTTCCCACTTTTTAGCCATGTCACAGGATTTACGTACATTGGTCAGAAGCTTACATAATTTATGTATTTTCATTATACTTAGCTCACCATTTGGCCTATAATGCTAAAGTTTGAGGATTTGATCCCTCTAGTGGACATAGTATAAATAATACTCTATGTAGTATTACATTAAAAAAAAAAGTTAATTCCCGAAGTTCAAATATAAAATTTTGTTTTGTGATGCAGATATAAAAAAAATGCCTTAGTGTTTAGTGACACATTATGTATTTTTAAAATTATGATTCTTGAAAAGAAAGTTTCAAAACAGATTTTCAAAAGAGTATAATAATCATTCTTATTTCAGTTTTTTAATTACCATTAAATCGTTTTGTAGCAAGATATTAAGTTTTCTTTGTATCATGTCATAGCTTTAATACCATCTCCCCCCCAAAAAAAAGCATTTTGGGGTAGCTCTAAAGTACTTAATATAATTCTGTTGATAATATGGTGAATTGCCACTTTTTGAAAAAAAATTCAGCTTAAATTTAAATTGTATTTCAAAAATTGTTGCACAAGAAGAAAGTTTACTTTTTTTTCTATCAAATTGTCCATTTTTGAGACATCGTCATAAATGAATGATATATTCAGAATACATTGCGAATACCACCAAGCAATTGTATATGTCACCTTAGAAGACTTTTAAATTAATCTTAATTGTTATCATATTAATGAGTAATGTACAATCAGGGAGAAAAACTTCACATGGGACTTTTTTTTTCTTCACTGTAGATCATTTTTCTGTAAAAAACATGGATTTTATAAAACTGCAGTAGCATTCATTAGCCTCTCAGAATGAGATATTTGATACTTAGTATATATATATATATTATTGAAAATCAAAGTTTAGTTTTTCATTGAAATCAATATCCTGTATATTACTTTTAAGTATCATGAAACGTATGATATTGTTGATAACATTACCTCAAAAAAAGCAGTAATTTTGTAAAAACAATTATTTTACTATGACTTCCTTTTTATTGTATGGCTAAATATAAAGTATGCATTTTAATATCTTCTGTTTTCAAGCCGAGATTACAGGTTAACCAAGTTTTGTATGTCTTTGTGCTTTTCTTCTTTTTTACTTTATTTGAACTTAATCAGGCTTACAGTAATGAAACTTGAACCCTCATACATAGAAACAAACAAAATTAATAAAACGTTGTTGGATTAATATCAGGACACGGGCGATACAGTGGGCAGTGTCCTGCGAGGGTTCTTCACCATTAGAAAACGAGATCCTATCAACAGACTTCCCACTTCCTCCACTTGTTTCAATCTCCTGAAACTCCCAAACTACCAGAAGAAGAGCACTCTGAGGGAGAAGTTGAGATATGCCATCAACAGCAACACTGGTTTTGAACTCTCTTGATTTTCTACACTGACAAGATATGTTATATCAAGTTATAAAATTGTGTTTTCAAATGAATGTAAATTTTTTTTAATCTAAGCTGCCATTTCTGGATGGTTGTTAGATGTATATATCGATAAACAGAATTTCTAAAAAACCATACCAAAACACATGTGTATCATTAGGGTGTCCCATAGAAATAATATTCTCATATTTCTTGTGATGGCCAGAAGATGCTAGTACATGTGAGTTTATTATAGATGTATAGATACATAAATATGGATTATTTACTCACAGTTTTTTTATACTGAATGGATCCAAAAATACATTTCGTTTTACTGCTACACATAATCTGTTGAGCTTACAAAAGCTGACACATTTTCATCAAAAGAATGGGTAATTTAACCTACAGATATCAGGTGTACCAATAACTCCGAATAATTACATTTTATTCAACAGCTTTTCTTTCCAGAATTGCTGTATGTGTTTCTGAATGTTTTTATCTCCATGGTTAATAGGACTGGTGGATAAAACATGCCATCAACTACCAGTTGACTTTATACTTTACACATGTGTTCCTCATCTTCCTGTGAACATGATATAATTACGGTTCTTTTATTCACACTAAAGAATAGTGTAGCAGTTATTTGAAACCTTCTAATTTATTTTTTTTAGCTGCACCCTGTAAATCTTTCAGTTGTTTAAAGAGAATTTTTTTAAACTAGAAAGTAGCAAAAGCCTGTGGTGTTTATATTGATTAAACGACTGTGTACTAAAATGGTTATATTCTGTATTTGTAGGCTGTCTGATAAGAAGTATGAAAAGAAAATGATTTGCTGTAGGTGATTTAATAGTCATTTTCATAAAATCCAATTATGAACTGCATGTCAGTTTGTATTATAAAAACGTACATCTTGGATAAAGATCTTAACGTAATTTTTCAGTAAAAAGTATGTGATAAATCTCCAGAAATCTATAGAAACAAAAGTCTGTGCTTTGCCTGAAGTTTTGTAAATTGTTCACCTTAATAAACTGAATGCAATCTTCAAGTTCGATTGTCCACAAAATTCCTGTAGTGTACATACAAACAGTCATAGCAATTGTCAAAAAAAATATATATATATATATATATACTCTTATGCTAAATGGTAGTTCTTCTAAAACAAGCAAAATTCTTGTAAAATTAACTTGTTTCAAAATCAATATTAATTTTTGTAGAAATATTATTACACATAAAAAAATTACTTGTATTAATAAAAATTTGAGACAAAAATGAGTGGTAAATGTAGGTTTATAAGGATAATTTAACGACACCAACAAAGTTTTATTCAGATTGTGGATATTTTAGAGTTCATCATTCCTAGATGCCTGCAGGTTCTTGAATATAATGTGATTAAGAAGTTGTACAAGGTAAAACGATTAGATAGATCAGTAATGTGACTAAGAAGTTGTATAAGGTAAAACGTAAACATGATTATTACATCATCATTCTTGTATTTTTTAAAAAGCATAATGACAATTTTTACAGCCTTCACTCCAAAAGTGAGCAATCCGAGATAAAAACTACAGAGTTGAATAAGTCATAACGTAAGCTTATGATCTAAGGTTGCTTCAACATACCTGATCATCTCCTACTTCTACACACCGTATTGAAAATGGTGGTTCTAAGTGAGCAAATCCAAGAAGAGGAGGCTTGGAACAACTGGTTACAAACTAGAAAAAAATTATAATGATGATAAAAATTGGTTTAGGTTTCTTTTTCATTAACAATCTTACTTTTGTACTCTTTCAGTTTTTGAAAATATTTGTCTACCTTACCTTCTAGCTAGATTTAACATAAATGTTTTCTGGAGATGGTTTTAATATGAAAAAAATATGCTAATATTAGAAAACAAAATCTGGACAGCCAATGGATGATACAAAACGCCTTTAGAATTATACAGTAATCAAACGGATATGTGTTCAGCTACAGGTATAAGCAAATGTTTTTATAATATATCTCAACCACGATACATTTTGCATAAATTTCCATACGTTCCATTATGAAGCTTGTTTTATAAAATCTGAATATTAAATTTTCAAGCTCATTACATTGGTCTAAGTGGAGAGGAATATAACACTTTTTACTTCTAAAGAAAAACATAATATTATGCAATTACCTTATTTACAATAACAATCGGTAACAAAGATAAGGTTACCAATTGAAGAATGGAGAAAAGTGTCAGTTTAATTTAGAAACAAAAACTATGTTTTCTTAATAACTTTGCGTTGAGTTTATAGCAGACTTAAGGTGTGTAGCATTTTGATACTTAGTAACTAAAATTACTTACTTTAAGAAATAAACTATGTTCTTCTGGTGAAAAGTCTTTTTCTAAGATGTCCCATAACCAGTTGATTACCCTATGGTTGTTGTGAAAACCTCCAAAGTATTTTGTGTGCCTCCTGTCATATATATACAAATAAAATAGAGGTCAAATACAGTAAACGTATTATATATTTTACCTGAAATTAATGCTATAATGTCTCTGAAAAAAACCCCAAAAAAAAACAGAATATCATAATAAGAATACAGAAGTTTAGATTGTTTCAGATACTAGAGTAACATGACAAATGGCTATTTGCACTAGCTGTTACTAATTTTGAGTTGACAAATTAAAGGGAAGGCATCTAGCCAATAACACCCACTGACAAATCTTGGCTATTCCAATTGATTGGTGGGTCAATTACCATCACTTTTACAATACACTCACAGCCCCAAGGTGTGGAGCACAGTTTTGTAACAACGAGATGCAAACCATGAGCCCTAAGATTCACAGTCTGATAAGCTAATCATTAGGCCACGCCTGCCCAGAAGAAAAAAACAACAAAATATTGCAGTTAATGTTAACATTTTAATTTTTTCTGAAAAGTGATAGTCACATATAGTGCAGATATAAAAAAAAACAACTACTTACTGTTATTTGAAGAAATCCTATAACATTTATGAAGTGCAAATGAATAAACAATTGAATGATATATAAATGATAGTTTCTTTTTTAATAACTAGTAATTCATATAGTATACTGGAATTAAACACAGTATGCTTTATTATAGTTTATGCAACTTTCTGAAAAGGCTTGCTAATAAACCACATCCATCCGTTAATAATGATTTTCAAGTATCCTTTCCTCTGTCTGAATCTTTTCTCAAGCGAAGTAGATTGAAATATCTTATTCACTTTTAATTTTACCTGAGATCCTGAAGGTCCACTGGACTGTTGTCTCCTGATATTAATCTCTGAAGTTCCGGAGTGGAGAACATAGTCAGCCAATCAGGGTTAACTATAGAGCGAAACCCTCTAATAAAAGCTGCCGTCTGGTCGTGAATCTGGACGTGCATCCTGAAGTGTGCCATTAGGTGGATGTAGCTGATTCTGTAGAAAAAGAAAGTAATAGACATGAGCTGTGATGAGTAACTAAGTAGATCTATACTGTTATGTACTTTTGTAAGAAACAAAAGTACAAGTAAAAGTTCAAAAGAGACAGCTTTAGAGTGGATTATTTAACTTTTTTATAACGTTTCGACCACTCATGCGGCCATCATCAGGTAACTGTCTCTCGCACAGTATTTCAAAAAATAGAGACAATCACTTTATGATGGCCACACAAATGGTTTAAATGTTGTATAAAAGTTAAATAAAAATAAACAATCCACTCAAAAGCTGTCTCTTTGGACTTCTATTTAAAATGTATAGTGGATTTCCTCTCCTCACAAGAAATATATTTAAGTAGTTTATGTATAATTAGATTTCCTCTGTTTCTTTATGATCTAAACAGGATCACTTTCTTCACTCATTATATCATCCACAGGACTAAGAAGATGTCAACTTACTTGTTTTCATTTGTTACAGATACAGCCTTTCCCCCAGGAATCAATTCATGGGTAACTAGTTGTCCCATACAGTCCTCATCCACAGAAAAGGTGAGATCCAGGTCTTGAATGTTTCCATCGTAGTGCTACAAAGTGCAAAGAAAGAAAGAACTGTATAAAAACATTCTTTATCCATTACGAGATCAAACTTCAATCAAATTACCAACTCTTATTTAACAAACTTTCTACAATAAACCAGAGTACGTAGGTTTATAAAGTCTCTGCCAAATGTATAGCTGGATAGTCAGTAAAATACATCACAATTACCACAATCTGCTCATCTAAAAAACAGTATTTTGGCCTATTTAACGAGAAGTTTTTTTTTATGAAGTTAAAGGCATCACAAATTATAAAATTTTCTCTACTACTTAGAAGTAGTGTTAATGTTTTAATTCTATTCAATGGATATGAATCTTCTGGAAACAATTCCGTAATATTAGTATTTTTTTTAATGTATGTTGAATAACTTTTAACTACTACAGTTTTTTTCATTAAATACTGGGTGCCGAGTATATCATATGCCTACTTTAAACAATCTCATCTACAAGGCTACTTTGGTTTTGTATGTGCACTTTCTACCAGCTTTTTCTTATCCTAGGGGGGAACTTAGTCACCAGAATACTTTTAACTGCAACCTTTCTCAGTCTCTCTTTGCCTTAAAAAAAGTCGTTTGAAATAATATTGAAGCTATTTCTAACACTTTTGAGTGAGCGAGAAGTAAGGAGAGTATATGTTGTACAAACGTATGTTCCAAATGGATGGTTAGAATCAATATAGCTGACAACCATAGGCATAGGGGCTTGATTTTGACTGGGGGGGGGGGGCAAGCAAATTTTGCCCCAAAATATAAAATCAACCTTAAAATTATGTACTTTAAGGTTTAAAGTCATTTGAAAAAAAAAAAGGCTCCAATGACTTCCATGCGGAACAATAAGGCACTAAAGAGTTAAAAAGGTGCAAGTGAAAATGTCACGCGTGGGTAATATATTTTCTGAAAAGGCATAATCAATTTGCAAATATAAAAGTTATAGATACGTACAGAGCTTTTGACCGAATATTTTGGGTGATTCTTGCCCCCCCGACTCTTACGCTTATGCTGACAACAAGGAGGGGTAAATTTATAAACTACAAATGATCACTGTAAAGCAAGAATTTGGCCATTATATCTATAATAAAACAACAACTGTAGGTGACAATTAGGTATAAACACACATCCCAACCGTATCTGTGGATACACTCTTCTAATAATATCTTTTATGTAGAATATTTTTATTATAGAATCTTAGTCATTTGTTAAGGATAGCTTACGTAACTTTATGAAAAATAAAACGGACAAGTCTGAAAATGACATTAAAAACCATGTAGCAGATGCTTATTAAAAACAAAATTTCATTGATCAAATTTAAAACTACAACCAACAGGTCTGATGACCATACTTTGATATAAGTTAAACTCCTATACAGGTCAGGATCTAATGATGGCAACTCATCTATAGAGCTATATAGAGCACTGTGCTGATGTCCTAGAACTTGGGTAAGGAAGAACGAAGAAAACGGAACATCCACGACAATACCCTGCAAGTAAAAATAGTACTTCTAAAACATTATTTTAGTTTTATAAATACACCATTAAATATTTATAGCCATCTTTTTAAAAAGAAATTATTAAACAACAACTGAAAAATAATAAAAAGAAGTGCTTTGAACAAACACAGAATAAATTTGAGTGAAATCTATTCAGTAAGATTATTTTTTTTTAATACACCATAGATGTAAAAAAATATGACCAGACCTTTTAATTCCAAAATGAGTCAAGAACTACCTCTGATTGTGAAATTTTAGTATCAGACAAAATAACCAAAGTTGAAGAGCGTCCTTCTTGAAACAAAAATCTTTTTTTAATTTTTACTTGTTTCTTAATACAAAAAAAACTTTGAAAGCCCATTTAAGTTTGGCCAACAATGAATCTTCAATTCTATATAACCACTATTATGTGTTTAAAGGATTTTAAAATTTCTAACTATTAAAATCGGTGAACAATTTGGTCGCAGTCGGTAAGGAACTAACAGAAGGTTAGTTAACACCAATTATTATTATTTTTAACTGTCACAACGAAAGTGAAAGATCAACTGATATATTAATAAAAACATACGACAAACAAGAAACAAAAATTAATCATAATGTGAAGAAAAATACAATCGGTAACAACAACGAAATTATTGAAGGGAAAATTTAAATTTATACCATTGATTTGATCCTGCTTGAAACCTACCTCATACACAGCTTTTCCCAGCATCTTACCCACAAACTCAAAGAGAGACAAGTGGTTCTCCTGAATACAAGATGTTGGAGACGGATAAAGTCTCTGCTCACTTGTAACCTACATGTTCAATCAACAGAAAGACGTTTAGTCTTCTTTCACTTGTTTTTTTTTTTTCACTTTAAAAAATATCTAATATAAATTGTTACATATAACAATATTACTATTTCAAGATTTCCTTATGAAATTTAATAAATAATTGTAAGTCTGTGTGGCACTTCTATGATCTAGTCTTTGTATTTATCATAATGTGGTATGGTAATAATACTCATGGTGGGAAACTTTATATGTGAATGTTGATGCGAACTGCATGTACTCCTGGGTAGCTCAGTGGTTAAAGCACTGGCCTTGTTAATCAGAGGTCCCAAGTTTACATCTTTTCACTTTTTTTTCTCACTTAAAAATATCTAATATTACTTGTTATGATATAACATTATTAATATTTCATGATTTACTTCTGAAATAGTCTATGGATTATAATGGCTCAAACCAATGTGAATTCAGCATCAATAATACATGATATAATGACTTAAACCACTGTGAATTCAGCATCAATAATACGTAATCTAATGACTTAAATCACTGTGAAAGACTACTTAAGAAAAATAATAAAATATAATGGTTCAAATCACTGGCAGAGATTAGCAACAATAATATATTACAGTAACTCAAACCACTGTGACAGAGTTTAGCAACAATAATATACTATAGTAGCTCAAACCATTGTGACAGATTTTAGCATCAATAATACATGATATAATGACTTAAACCACTGTGAATTCAGCATCAATAATACATAATATAATGACTTAAATCACTGTGAAAGACTACTTAAGAAAAATAATAAAATATAATGGTTCAAATCACTGGCAGAGATTAGCAACAATAATATACTATAGTAACTCAAAACACTGTGACAGAGTTTAGCAACAATAATATACAATAATGACTCAAACCACCATGACAGAGTTTAGCAACAACTGTATTAAACAGATTTAGCAACAACAATAAACTATAATGGCTCAAACCACCATGACAGAGTTTAGCAACAACTGTATTAAACAGATTTAGCAACAACAATAAACTATAATGGCTCAAACCACCATGACAGAGTTTAGCAACAACTGTATTAAACAGATTTAGCAACAACAATAAACTATAATGGCTCAAACCACCATGACAGAGTTTAGCAACAACTGTATTAAACAGATTTAACAACAATAATAAACATAGTTTAATAATAATAATGGTTACAAGTACTATGTTAATTTGACCATTCATTTTGGGCAGAAGGACAACTTAAGTTCAGCTTGGGGACATTTCTTAACCACCACAGCCAAACAATCCATCTGAAAAGTTTCAACCAACCTTGAAAAGATTGAGGGATGGGTTAAAAACTCTCTTGATAGTCTCCTCTAAGAATTCTTTAAACACACCATCTTGGTCAATACCTGCTTCGTCAAGGCCCTGGTAATATAAAATCATACAATGTTGTTCAATTATACACAGATTTAAAAGTTTAAAAAATATGCTTAAAACCTGTCATTTCATGAAACACCCTAATTTAGTGTATTCAATATAAGTACTGTAAAGTTATGTGTTTAACATGTATGCCTATATGTTTACTAGTATTCATATATTATACCACTGTAAAAACTAAATTTACACCAGCACCTAGTAACAGGACTTAAGACTAGTGTAAATTTGTTAAGAAGGTCAAACCTCATGAAGATTTATTTGGTTTAAGACTGAAAACACTGTTAACAATGTGTTACTGAGCTGAGAATTGTATGTAATCTTAACTATATGCATTTATGTACATACAAATTGTATGTTCTATGTACATACAGACTGCGCGTAGGTTGATGTATAACACACACACATGCATGTGTGTGTGAATAAATCATCTATTATACTTCTTAAATACCGTAATCATTAACAAAAAAAAACATTTTATTTGGTTTCTTGTTCTGAAGAAACTGGTTATTGTTTGTTGGACTGGTTTGCTCTGTAGTGCATAATGCTTATCAAACAATAGGATACGAAAAAAAACTGAAATAACTCGTACTATTATTTGTGCTACAACCATAGAAACCAATCATTTAAAAGACTAAATCAGTGAATATCAATTGCTGTATTAAAATAAAGTCAGTAAACAAAAGCAGTTATAATAATTCATTGATTTATTCTTCCTCCTAACATACCTGTTCATTGATAAATTTCACTCTTATCACTCCTTTCAGAGCAGCAGGAGGTAGAATAGCTAGCTGTTGGTAGCCATCCTGCAAGTAGGAAACAAAGTACAGTTAATTAAAAGTAATGGTTCACATAAGAATAACTACCATAAGAATTATTAGTCTAGACTAACATACAACATTCATGTAGGGCATATGTGTCAGTTCATTGTAGTTTAGGATCTTCTGCTGCATTTTCTTTTTTGGTGGTGGTGTTTCGGTCTCCACAAAGGGTCTTTTTCAGGTCAAAAGAGTCTGGGGTAATGTGATTTCTATAAACAGGTTGTTTGGTTTGGTCTTAATTACTGGTTGTAATGCTGCCCTAAGAGAGAGCTGTATTTCACTAGGTGTTTCCTGTTGATTATGTAGTATAACCCAAGGACAGAACTGTATTTCACTAGAAGTTTCCTGTTAGTTATGTAGTATAACCCTAGGACAGAACTGTATTTCACTAGAAGTTTCCTGTTAGTTATGTAGTATAACCCTAGGACAGAACTGTATTTCACTGGGTGTTTCCTGTTGGTTATGTAGTATAACCCAAGGACAGAACTGTATTTCACTAGGTGTTTCCTGTTGGTTATGTAGTATAACCCAAGGACAGAACTGTATTTCACTAGAAGTTTCCTGTTAGTTATGTAGTATAACCCTAGGACAGAACTGTATTTCACTGGGTGTTTCCTGTTGGTTATGTAGTATAACCCTAGGAGAGAGCTATATTTCACTAGAAGTTTCCTGTTAGTTATGTAGTATAACCCTAGGACAGAACTGTATTTCACTAGAAGTTTCCTGTTGGTTATGTAGTATGGTCTTGGTTGTAATTTCCTTGAGTAAGGGTTCCACAATTTGTTGATTTCCATAACTTGGTCTTTTATTGAGGGTTGGTTTTGGATATGTATTAATTTTTTTTTCATTTTCAATGACTTTTCATGTTTAGCTGAGTTTAGAACTTGTACATTGTTCCATTAACACAAATAAACATGAAAAAACATGGAAAATCAAAGAAACAATACAAATCCAATCCCAAGTAAATTTATAATGCTTTTTATAAACCAAATCAATATTTAATGATATGATACTAATACACTTTAAATTTTTATTGATAAGGTTTATTTTCGAAATTTTATGTAGTTTTGTGTTTGACAAAAAAAAAAAAAGATACAAAAAACCAACTAAAACCATGTATTGAATGAATGAATCAGATATATTTTAATTTTTCTGTATTATCAGGGAACTTGGTAATATAATAAATTGTTCAACTATTTTAACCTGTCTGAACTATCAGTGAACTTAGTGATATTAAAATTTAGTCAGACACATTTTATCTTGACTAAATTATCAATGAACTTGGTTATATAATACATTTTTCAGACATATTTTAATTCTTGTGCCTTATAAAGTTAATAACTGGATCATATACTTTTTAAATTATGTAAATAATAAGGGAATTTAGCAAGGTAATGAATGGGTCACAAACATTTTGAATAATATAAACCATAAGTGAGATTAAAGAGTTATTAACTCAATAATCATGTGTACTTAAATTTACTCAAATTGTAGGTAAATATAGCAATGTAATAAATGAAAATATAAATATACAATATTTTAATTAGCAGTGAGCTTACCTCTACTATTCTAGATCTGTGTACTGTAATAAGCGTAGACTGTGGTGAGGCACAAGCTGATTCTGTTAGTCCTAGCACATTCTTCTCTGCTGCTACATTCTTTCGAAACAGAACCACTCTCTGTAATGTACAAGAAATTTCACTAGTAAACATGAAAAAAACAACCAACAACCTGTACTTCAAATCTTACCAAGTAATACAAGTAATTTGTACAAGAAATTTTACTAGTAAACATGAAAAAAACAACCAACAACCTGTACTTCAAATCTTACCAAGTAATACAAGTAATTTTACTAGTAAACATGAAAAAACAACCAACAACCTGTACTTGAAATCTTACCAAGTAATACAAGTAATTTTACTAGTAAACATGAAAAAAACAACCAACAACCTGTACTTGAAATCTTACCAAGTAATACAAGTAATTTGTACAAAAATTTTACTAGTAAACATGAAAAAAACAACCAACAACCTGTACTTCAAATCTTACCAAGTAATACAAGTAATTTTACTAGTAAACATGAAAAAACAACCAACAACCTGTACTTGAAATCTTACCAAGTAATACAAGTAATTTGGTTTACTTCCATACACTTAATGTGACTATCAGTCAAAAATAAAATCTGCATTAAATGATGATAGAATAATAATGTCAAATTTAATGCAATATTAAATAAGATAGTTCAATATTTTTGTTAAAGTGTCTAATCTATTATATATGAGGTAAGTTTCCAAAAATAAATATCAAGTATAATATTCGAATCATTAGCAAGTATAACTTACTATTTCTTAATTCAAGTAATTGAAAATGAAATACAGTAGTGTAAAATGACTAAACTGTCAAAGTTTTGAGGTTTGTTAGTCCTAAACATGTGGAAGAAATCACATTGAACTGCAACTTATTTTTTCACATTCTTCTTAGTCAGTTTTTTACATAAAAGACTAATGAAGATGAATGTGATGAACAAACATGAACAGTCAAAGATGATTTTATCACTTTCTTAAGCCTAAAAGCCTCAATTCTTCATAAGATTAAGTGTTTTATACCTTATTTAAAAATCTTTGACTGCATTTAAACAGCATTTCAGATATAATTTTGGCAATCTAGCTATTAAGCAAAGAATTTTCTGGACAGTGACTTGTGGCAGACAAAGATAAACCTAACACGCTATTTTTACACTTTTTACCCCCCCTGACTGTAAATATGTAAAGAATTCATTGAGAAAAATATGAATTAATAATATCTTCAATCAAACATGACTTTATCATTAGAAATAAAATATGATGAATATGTAAGAAAAACAACAACAACACATCCTTTATTTGTTTCTTAAAAGCTTTTATGAAGGTAAATCAAAGTGAATAAAAATACTAATTCAATATTCTTCTCCAGGACTCTATACTAAATTTTCAATATTTCTTGTAACAACTATTTCTCTTTAAAATATAATAAGGTTAGAGTAGTTTACTTTAAAAGTTATAAAAAAAACTTTTTAACCATGTCCTAGCATGAATGGTTTCTTATCAGCTCATATATATAAATATACATAGACTATTTTTTTCACATAGAATTCAGTATGCAGCTGCCATCAGCAAGGATGCTAGGAGGGTTTACGGAAGGTTATGATGCTCAAGTTAGCTTATGACATATATTTTATTCAGTCTGTCTTTATGGGAGGAAAAAAAAAGGAGCCAGTTTTTAGGATTATAATTAAAATTTCATTGGAAAAGAACTACTAAAGTACTTCAGAAGAAGTTGCAATGTAGTAATAATGATTGAAAAAAAAAGATTATTTAATTTGAATGACTTTTGGCTATTAGTGAAAAATTATTTTGAAACTAAAATTTTCAAATTATTAACTTTCATGAAGTTAGAATTGTGTTGGAAATGTAACAAAATTACTGAATTATTTGTAAATTGCTTGAAATTGTAAAGTTAGATGTTGGGAAGAAAATTAGACTTTAACATTTTTGATTGGAATGCTTAATCCATGAACTAATAAATCAAAAATAAATTTATGCTTTCAGAAAGAAGTCACTTTTATTTAACTGGTTGCAAAATGTACTTAATATTTATACCAAGCATTTCAGACCGCTACTAATATAGTGATTTCAAAATGTAATTAATGTTCACACCAAGAGCTATGCTAAATATACCTCTTTATGTGCAATTGTGTGTGGAACTACTTAATATTCACACCAAAAGTTATGCTAAATATACCATTTATGTGGAATTATGTGTGGAACTACTTAACATTCACACCAAAAGCTATGCTAAATATACCATTTTATGCAGAATTATGTGTGGAACTACTT